GTTTTGATCGAATGCATATGCGAAGTATTGAAGAAACTTAGGCTTGAATTCGATGTGATTTAATGGTTTAGCGTTGTTAGACGTGTTTTGAGGATTGGAACAAGTTTGAATAATGTTTTAAGATGTGTTGGTAACTTTGGTTGAGGTCCCGGGGGCCTCGGGGTGATTTTCGGGTGGCTAACGGAAGAATTTTGAGTTGAAAATTGCAGGGTTTGGTTGCAGCAGTGTTTTCGGCATCTTCGGAAAGGAGATCGCAGATGCGGTCTCGCAAGAAGCGAGCTAGGCTCGCAGGAGCGGAAATAGGAGCCCAGGTCAGGTTCCGCGAAGCGGGACATTGGGTCGCTTAAGCGGTCCCCAGGCGAGATGGAAGTTGGATTGCAGAGCGAAAGTGCCTTCAAGTGAAAGGTCCGCAGGAGCGGACATTGACCGCAAAGCGGAAGGTGCAAAAGCGGGAATTAATCCGCTGAAGCGGAAATAACTGGCAGGTTAAAGTGAGAACATCTTCTTCGCGATATTTTAAAAGAGTGACTTTTGGACTCCGAACCTTGAGAACTTTGAGGCGATTTGAAGAGGGATTCGAGGGCTATTATCAGGTATGAACTCTTGGGGCTAGAGCTTGATTAATGGTGTATAAACATGAATTTGGACTGAATAATCAAGGAATCAGAGGTCAAAAATGGTGGTTTAGGGCTTGATTTTAAGAGAGTTTAAATTAGGGATTTGAGGGTTCAAATGGACCCCGATTTTGATGATTTTGATATGTATAGACTCGTGGCGAGACGAGGAATCCGGAGATGTGAATTTCGTAATTTTTGAGAAGTGGGCCCGGGGTCCGGGTTTTGCCAACTTCGTGATTTTTGATATTTTTCGAGTCTTTTTCGGTTGGGTTATGACCCATTAGCCTATTGTGATGTATTCTTGTGGTTTTGAATCAGATTCGACGCGCGAGGAGGTCGATTCGAGGAAAAAGGCATAGCGAGTAGACTTTGACCGGCTAGAGGTGAGTAAGATTTTTAAATGATGTTCTAAGGGTTTGAAAACCCCGGACTTGCAGCAACTTGGTGCTATGTTGAGATGAGAGCGCTCCATGACGAGCGGCGGGTCATTTACTATTGGGGACTGTGACTTGGTCCAGTCTGGATGATATTTACCGCGTATTAGCAATGACTTGTTGTTTTAACTATGATTTGGGCTTATTGCCATATTTGGGGCTTATTGCCGACTGTTTGAACTCTTTATGAACTATCATCACTGTTTTCCTCACTGTTTGAAATATTATTTGAACTCAGTCCATGTGATTTTACACTGTTTCTTGAACTCAGCCAATTTACTCAAACTTGGAGTTTCAAACTGATATTTGAACTATTGTTTTAGTCTGAGTATTATTGCTTTACTATTGCCCGAGGGGCTTTGTTGACTATTTCTGGACTGATTGAGTGCCGAGGGCCTTATGTGAGGGCATGATGGGTGAGGTGAGGAGGCTTTCAGGCCTCTTATTGATACTGTTCAGGCTTTCAGGCCTTGTTGATAGCGCTTGGGCTGTAGGAGGCCCTCGTCAGTCTGCCACCCACAGTGAGCGCGGGTACTCATCTAGAGTGATTAAATATTGAACAGTGGTAACATGACACTGTTTATACGCGTTTGGTCAGGTAAACAATGACTGACCCAGTCAGGTAACAATGACTGACCAGTGGTAACAATGGCACTGTAATACGCGTTTGGTCTGGTAAACAATGGCTGACTTATTGGTTGAGTATGATTGATTTTTTAACTGTTTTAAAAAGATTTCTTCCTGTATTCACTGGTTTCTACTGTTTATCTGATGTTTTGCTGCTTGAAATAGGCATTATTTTGTGACCTTGTGGGATTTTATGTTCTCAGTCGTTATTTAATTTTATTACTCTGGGTCGGAGTAAACTCACATTACTTCTGCACCATGTGTGCAGAGACAGGCACAAGCTGAGTTCGTACCTGAAGCGCTGATTTCCTTCCAGACCAGGCGGACTAGGAGAGACGAGGTAGGTGTCGACGTCCACAGTCCCGTTTCTTCCTTATCTTCTGCAGTATTTTTATTCATCTTCAGACTATATTTCCAGACTTGTAGTATTTTCATCAACTCTGTAGTAGCTCGTAACTTTGTGTACACCCGATCATCGGGCTGAGTTTGGGATGTTTTTCCCCGTTATGTTAGCGTTATTTCCGCACTTATGATTAATCAGTATCTATGGTTAAACTTGTTATGCTAAGAAATTGTCAAAAGGCAGTGTTGATTGTTCTGTTGGCTGGCCATGCTTCACGAGAGGCGCCATCACGACCGGGTGGGAATTGGGCGTGACAATGAAATTTAGCAAATGAACTAAATAACTTCAAGCATGCATTTAGCAAAAACTCATGAGAAAATTACTTACTGAAGACAAAAACTAAGCATGTTTAGTCTGAAGTTTTAGCAAATGAACTAAAATACTTCAGCTTGTTTAGACTGAAGTTTCGGATAAAACTCATGACGAAATTGTAGGCTGCAGGACAAAACTTCAGCATATTTTCGTATGAAATTTTAGCAAATGAATTCAATAACTTCAGCATGCATTAGCATGAAGTTTTAGCTTCAACGTGAAACAACTTCATGTTGCATTAGCATGAAGTTTTAGCTTCAACGTGAAACAACTTCATGCTTCAACGTGAAACAATTTTTTTCTATATTCTTCACGCATTAAATTTGAAGTTTTGAAAAGATTTTGAAGATCTATAAGTGAAAACTTCATGCTATATCCGTCAAACAACTGTATGGAAGTGATATTATGAAGATGAATCTGGTTCAAGTTTTTGATTTTTGATAAAGCTGCTGAGAGGAGAGGATGAGATCTTTTTTTACGAATGAGGTTGCAGATCACGCGATTAATGCGTGATGCAAGTTTTATATATTTTGTCAGGGGTATAATTGTCATATTATTATGGATTTTTTGTCAGCTGGCTACCAAATCAATAATTTTAAAAAATAGGGTACAAGTTAAAAGGTGACACAAATATAGGATACAACTGCAAATCCCCGCTTCAGATTTGTTTCTCGTACCATTGGGTGGGATCTTTATACAAAAGCCGGTTGGATTCACTGTTTATTTTTCCTAACCAGCACACATATATTTTAGAAGAATTAACCCAAATAGCCGCATATTGAATCGGTTAAACTAAAAATTCACGGTAGAGGTATAATATATGTACAATGTATGTATTATATGTATATAATTAGTATAATCAATGTACAAACTATGTATATGGCTAGAAAAAATAAATAATAAATATAACCGACTATTTATGTAAAGATCCATATATTATACGCTGACTATACCCGGTTATATACAAATTATTTTTGAGTTCACGAATATTATACATTTGCTGACTTTTTTTAGTTTAAGCAGTTTGGTGGAAAGCTATTTAAATTAATTTTTCCTTATTTTGTTTGTTTATTGGCCCAAAACGGCCCCAAAGCTTAATGCAATTTGAATTTGATCTCTTGGACACTAAATTGTATTCAAAACATTTTTTTTCCAATAATTTGATTTGAACTCTTGACCTACTTGTCTTTTTTTGGTCGAACGTTAAATTTCTTATTCAACCAAGTATAACTGTATACTCTTGACCTATTTGCCGTAAATAAATATAATTCACTAATTGAGTCAATTCATCGTGTTTTCACTTAGAGACTTCAGGGTGCATAGTTGACCATAAAGAATTACTTATGATCGAAGCGTTAAGACCATATTTTTACAATTGATTACTTTCTTGACGATCTTGAAAAAGTGCACAACACAATTTTCAACTTGTATTGACAATTTAGTAGGATATTGCAATAACAAGAAAGACTGCCCCAAAGTTTCAAGTCAACAAAAACAAGGCTCAACTTGGCAACTTGTATGAATGGGACTTGTGCAAACTATAAAGGACTCAAGACAGATTCTCCTCTTGAGTTGCTTATTCTGAGAAAAACATTTTCTGTATTATTCTTTCTCAAACATTTTAATTTGGTTTGTCAAATTTTTTTATTTAGTTTTAAAATATATAAATGTTATTTTTAAAAGAGAGATAGAATAATAGTGACTGATGTTTGACATAAAATTATATTATCTACTTCTTATATTCTTAATCCCTGGTAACAGCTTATCCTCAGTTATCACAATGAACAACAGATTAATAATAGATAGGTAAGTAAATTGTTGGAATAAGTGTTTCAATAAACTTGAAACAATGTATTTGATAAATTGATGTATTTACAAAACACTCTTATTTTTCAAAGTGAATGAATGTGAATTCATTCTTGATTTACTACATACGTTTTGGTTTTAGCAAAAATATTTGATCTTCCAAATTCATGAATATATTAATGAACTTATTAAATGATAAATTTATCTTTCAAGTGTCTTTAGCCTATAAATAGGGCTGATTTTCCTTGAAAAAGACAAGCAATTCACAAACTACTTTTCCCTTAAAATATTATAAGAGACATTGATCAAATGGTGAAATCATAGATTCAAGAATAGAAGAGCAAACATTCTTGAATGCTACTTGTTGTGTGACTTAGTTGAATCCCGGAGATAGAGTTGTCATTTATTCTTTCGTTTGCTCGTGGAAGAGACTCCAACTATCTTCAAGAAACGTTTTTTCTACGTGCCTCTAAGCCAAGCAAGTTTATTTTCTAATATTGTTATAATTCTTGTTCTAACAATTCGAAGATAGTTGTCTCTATGGCAACTACAACAATTTCGAGTGGTGTTCCGTCTTTGCCAAATCTAAATTTTGAAATATTTGATGGCAAAGACTTTCCTAGATGGCGTGGAAAGATGGAATGCTTTCTATGGCGTTTGAAGTTAACATATGTTCTTGAACAACCTTGTCCCAATGCTCCTAATTCCGAGGTAGCAACTAATGAGGCTACTTCGATTAGAGAATAAATTCTTTAAGTGGCAAGATGATGATTTTTATGCAAGAATTATATTCTTCGAGCAATGACCAACTATTATGATCGATATTCTGCCAAGTGCAAATCTGCCAAAGAATTTTGGGATACTCTTCAAGCTATTTATTTGGCAGAAGAGGCGAGCTCAAAGAAGTTTTTTGTTTCAAATTATATGGAATTCAAGATGATTGAGGACAGGTCAGTCACTGATCAAGTGCAAGAATACCAGTTAATAGCTAATAAAATTGCTATTTCTGGAATTAATCTTGATGAAAACTTTCATGTCGGTGCTATTATTTCAAAATTTCCTCTGTCATGAAAAGAGTACAGAAGTAAACTTTTACGTAAGAAGGAAGATTTGACTCTTGAAAAATTGTTGCAATATTTGCAAATTGAACAAGAGACTAGAAATTGTGACACTAATATTTTCAAGGAACCTGTCATGAAAGCTCATGTGGTTGAAGAGAAAACAACCAAAAGGGAACCAGATAACAAGAAATTTACAAAGATAAAGAAAAGTACAAATTTTAAGCGTACTAGTGCTAATTCTAAGTCAAGTGAGTGTTATCATTGTCATAAAATTGGTCACTATGCTCGTGATTGTAAAATTCTTAAAGCTGAAAAGAAGAAAGGAAAAGTCAACAATAATAGAAATGATGAACTTGTAGCGATGGTCACAGAAGCATTTGTAGCAGAAATCAAGTCGAATGGTGGATAGACACCGGTGCAACTCGTCACATATGATCGAAATATTTTTAAGACCTATGAATTAATGGGGACGATAAAGTTATGTATATGGGAAACTCGTCCTCTGCTAAGGTTGTAGGAAAAGGAATTGTCGAGTTGAAGTTTACTTCCGAAAAGATGGTCACGTTGAAAGACGTATTGCATGTTCCTGACATTCGGAAGAACTTGGTGTCAGGTACACTACTTTCGAAGCATGGTGATCACGCCCAACTATGCCTTATAAAAAGGACTCTGCGGACGTTGCAAATATAACCCGAGTATTACGCCCAGGGTCGAATCCACAGAGAGTTAACCTATCAACCACTATCTTCAGACCCACTAATTCTTCGAAACCAGCTTCCCAAATATTCAAATCTCAGTTGAATGTTCTTTAACAACTACGCTTGCAAGTAACTAAATAACTGTAAACTAAACTAATAAGGTTGTAAACAGTTATGATAAAAAGATAAGGCAATGATTTCCCCTATTGATGGAATCCCTTCTGTTTATGCTCATACAAATTTACCAACACATCTCTATCAATCATGAACGCTAATCTTACCGTAAATCTCTCCCGAGTAATCACAGTAATTTACTATTGCAATCTCCCGAGATACACTAGCTTACTTTATTTAGCACGATTCACTTTAGATTACACCCAAGGCTTCGTTATCCCTAATCCCGCCTTTAAACCCGCAATTATAGATTCCTCTAATAATCTAGGAGTGTTGTTGTTCAACAATACCTAAATATGCACTCTTTTCCAAGTTATGCACACTAAATAGGCACAGCTAATTGAGGATCCTGTCAATTAACTACAACAAACACGAAGTTAAACAAATAGAGATTAAACTAGCAATTTATATTCACATAAACAAGAAGTTCATCACCCAATAGGTTCCATCAAAACCTTAGACAAGGAATTTAGCTACTCATGGCTATGGGAAAATAAACTAAGATAGAATTCATCATAAAAATCAAAAGTAAAGAAGAAAGATGTTTGAAGTATTCTCTCACAATGGTTTTCCTTGCTAAGAAACCCTAAGAATCAATACATGCCTCTCTTGGGCGAAGTCTAATGTTTCAAATAGGGTTTAGGTCTAAAAATCCCGTATTTGACACTTTGACCCCTGAACTTTTCTGTGCCTGCCGCGGTTCTGCC